ATCTCCTATCATTTATATGCTATGAATTCAGGATCAGAGAGTAAGGCTATATTAAACTGCCAAGTACGAACAGATGGGGTTTGTCCAACAAGAGCCAAAGACCTAGCCGTACAGGCACATGATCTGACACCGCAATTGTTCCAATATGACAATCCATTACATCATGGCTTACTAAAAAGTAATCTAGATGAGAGTAGGTAGAGTGTACTGTAGAAAATCCAAATATAATGAAGACTTCTGCTTGGAATTTCTATGTGTGGAAGGCACCAATTTATCCAAAACAGGATCAAGTACTCCACTGAAGTCACCAGTGATAATAGGGAAGCAATGCCCCAGGTCTTCTTGGCTGACCTGAATGACATGAAAACAAATTAGGATCAACACAAGTATGGGTAAAGATACTAGCAAAAACAATTGTTGATGTCTCAGCTATCATCCTTAGCTGACCTAAGTATCCACAATCCTTATACTGAGTTTTTTATGCAACAGGATCACCACAATCCTTGCATTGGCGTTATAACAGCAACAGTCTACAACCCCAATCTAGCCTCCAAAGCTGAGCAGCCTCAGTCTCTGTCAAGTGTGTCTCTTAGAGCACAGTCACTTCAATCTTATCCCTTTACATTCCCAGAGGCACACCTCATTATCAGGACCACTGATTACTAGCAAAAGAAAGGACAACACACAAGGGTGTTTAATACAGTTAACTAGCAGCGAGCAAGGAGTATAGTGTAACAATTATTCAGATACCTTTCACCAGTCCTTCCCTACACAGCACTCCCAATGGGAAGGGACTATAGACTTAGGCGAATTACCAAGCTCTCCCATCATGATTCTATGGCTTCAAACAGTTCAGGGCCAAAACTCTGCTCTCCAGTGGAAGGATAGGATATGGACAGGAAAACAGGGATAAAAGAAGACCCCAGAGTCCTCCTTAGGCAGCAAGCCCCACTGGTGAATAGTTGAAGCAGATTATTTTACCCTCCAGGAAGAACTCAAAGGATAAACAGATTTGAATTGGATTGTAGTGCCTAATGGATTATCCCACAGAAGAGCAATAGGGCATCATCTTGGCCACACAGAAAGCTAAGGAGTTACCCCTTTACTAAGGCAAGTTTCAAAATTCTAACAGCAAAACTGAAAGGGGGGAAAATAGGGAGAGGAGTTTAATCCACAAGCCATTATTTCAAACCGTTGTTAGGAACTGATTGGGGAAATCACAAATCCATTTTTTTTTTAAAAAACAGGAGCATATAATGGACAGCATATAGTGGACCTGGAGACTTTTAACGGAAGTTTTCTGCCTCTTGAGGCTTTTGAAATACACAAGTCTCTTCTCTGTACTTTACATAAATAAGACTGGAAACTTCAGAGAGTATTTTTAAGGCCTTTTCACCTACCCATGTTCCTTTTTCGATTTTTTGCTGCCCTGGAGCTTGCAAACAGCATAGTTGTGTCTGATGGCATTTAGGAGGTATGGGAGTAGATGGGTGGTATAGAGGGCCAGGTGGAGCCAGATTGTGCAGGACGGCTCAGGAGCAAAAGGGAGCTGTGCCTTCATGTTCCATAGAACCACCAAGAATCCTCTGGGAGTGGTTATCTTGACGTGCTTAAGAAAACAAACTGGTGGAAGCAGGAACCTGCCCACTTACAAGACAACTGCTAATTTCCCTCTGACTTCAAATCAGACTAAAAATGATACCTTCAAAACTAAAAGTGCAATTAAACATTCTTCATCACTAGATTAGACATTCATTTTTAGTGCACAGCCACCCAATTATAAAAGTCATGACTGACTGATGCACAGTGACAGCAAGATCACCTTTTCCTGTGAGGTTAATAAGCAGCTTTTTATTAACTTAGTACACTTACTAATTAGACGGAATATGAAATTCACTGGTTCAGGGTATTATCATTTCACCTGGATGTGCTGTATACATGTAGAATTTCTATCACTGTATCTTGACCACCTAGAAATCCAATTCTTATTCAGTTAACAATGTTAAAAAACTAGTAGAAAACCATTACTGAACAAGAACAAATTTTGAAGTTGCAGTCAGCAATAAAATATTTTGAAATATTAAGTAAATTCATGTAATTGAAAATGTTATTTCACCACCACAACATGGGCTTCTGGGAAAACTGCAGAGACAAGCCAGCCAGAGACTCCAACCACTCTACCCAGAAACAGACAAAGCAAGGACTGCTGTACTGGAGGGTTTGTAATGGAACTGCTCAGTGCAACAAAAACACCACCACTCACAGGACTGCAGGCTGGGAACTTGCTGTTTTATTCAACAGCATCACAACCAAGTGTTTGTGGGAGGGCATGAGAGGGTGTACTCTCACTGACACAGGAAGGAGGGAGGGGTAGAGCATGGCTCCATCCCCTAATATTCTGCAATAACTGTAATGCAGTTAACCCCATGATGACCACTTTACTGTAAAGAGCAGCAGGTAAAAGGGGGCTCCCCAGACAGGGCCACCCTCCTGACCTCCAGGGAATAACCAAGAACTGTTCAGTGCTTACAGAGTTGGAAGGTCTAAAAGTGTTGTTTTACGTATCAAATATGCTCAGTTTATAAATCATTGAGAAAGAACTGAGAAACACCCAAAATGGCATTTTAAAGTTCTTTTTCAGAGTAGAATTGCACTTTCAGGCATATCATGACTCAGACCAACATTTTTTCTAATAATATTCATCGAAAAGCACTGTTTACGCTTTGAAAACCATGAACAACTTAACCTGCACATAGCACAAACTAGTAGTTCCAATTCCTACTAGGAAACAGTTTGTCTCAAGAAGTCACCACTACACAGATGGCTTAACTAGGGTTGCCAACTTTCTAATCGCACAAAACCAAACACCCTTGCCCTGCCCCAAGGCCCCCCTCCTGCCCCTTCTCCAAGGCCCCACCCCCGCTCAGTCCACCCCTCCCCCCCAATCGCTCGCTCTCCCCCACCTTCACTGGGCTGGGACAGGGGGTTAGGGTGCAGGAGGGGGATGCGGAGTGTGGGCTCTGAGAGGGAGTTTAGATGTGGGAGGGGGCTCAGGGCTGGAGCAGGGTGTTGGGGTGTGGGAGGGGATGCAGGCTCTGGGCAGCTCAGGCAGCTCCCATAAGCAGCGTATGTCCCTGCGGCTCCTAGGCGGAGGCGCGGCAAGGCAGCTCTGAGTGCTGCCCTGTCCCACAGAAACTGCCCCTGCTGCAGGGCCGGCGCTCAGGGCAAGGGGAATGTGCAGAGCCCTCATAGCCACCCCTGTGCCTAGGAGTCAGACATGCCGGCCACTTCCGGAAGCAACCGGGCATTCTGGTCGAAAACCAGACGCCTGGCAACCCTGAGCTTGACTCATGGTCCGGATTCATTTTATGAGAACCAGAGACCCTTTCTTTACCTACAGAAAGATTCTACTGTCCTTCAGATAGCATAAACACTTATTTCCCTTCTGAAAAAATATGGTTTGCCTCTTTTGTAGCAAGACGACGACAATACTTCCACAGGTCTTTTTACATTTATTCAATACATCCTTGTTATAAACAACTGCAGGAGTGCTTACAGTGTCTCTATCTTCTTCTCCTCCAAGGAGGGGTGGGGGAGAGGGAAGAGAGAGGTTTATGCTCCTTCCCTGGAAAGGGTGATTGGTAGGAGAGCCGCCAACCCAAGGCCCTACAAGAGGCAATAATAGCAAACACTCTGGAGTGCTTTGGGGCTGCCTTCCTGGGCCACTTCCTACCACTTTCTTCTCACAAGGCCGCAAAGTATTTCCCTTAAAGTCCAATAGAAAAACAACAAAAACAACTGAATTTTCAGTCCAGTTCAGCTCAGCTAGTAGCCTCATTTCTTGCACACTAGCCCCAGCTGCACACTGATCCAAGTTCCTGGGCTGCACCCCACTCGGGGTCTGTCACACTCTCCCTCTATCCAGGGTTTCATGCAAGCAACAGTCCCTGATCAACTCAACTATAGTCAGGCTCCTGGCACAAGACTCAGCCCCAAGCCCAAAAGAGAAAGTTCGCAGCTACCTCCCACTTTAGTCTCCACCCTGGACCTTCTCCTGCTGCTTACGAGCCCTTCCCTTGCAATAGGGCTTATTTGTGCCCTTGCTCAGGAGTTCTCAGGATAGATCTGTTTTCCTATGCTGTCTGTCCCCCTTTTGAGCTGTCTGGCTCCCTTTTAAAAGCTTCTCCACCAGCGAGAGAAGACTCTGCAGGTGCAGAGAAGCAGAATCTCCTGGACCCAGAACTGCTCCTGAAACCCTCCTGTCCCAGTGTGGGTTTATACACCCAATCACAATCACATGACCACTGCACGGAAGGCAAATATTGAATAGTTCAAAGTTTCATTATCTATTTAGAACAGGGATTTTCCACATGGAAATTGCAGCTCTGTAGGATAACTTTTGGGATGTTCATTAGGCATGAGACTAGCCAAGGACATTCAAGACTTGGATTCTACTGATAGACACAAACATTCAAAACAAACTGAAAATCCTTTTGCCCACACACTTCACAGAAAGACTTCTAGTGTTAGTTCTCCTGATCTGGTTGCGTGTAGCAGCTGCCATATCTTCTGACACTCTGAAGATGGGTTCTAGAGCAAGTGACATGATGTGATTACTAGCAATCTGACATTGATAGAAATGTAACTATACTTCAGTTTTACATCAGCAAAACTCAACTTAAAACACTTTGTTTCCATTTAAACTTTGAGCATATACACCTCTACTCCGATAGAACGCTATCCTTGGGAGCCAAAAAAATCTCACTGCGTTATAGGTGAAACCGTGTTATATTGAACTTGCTTTGATCCGCCGGAGCGCGCCCCCCCGCTCCTCCCGGAGTGCTGCTTTACCGCGTTATATCCGAATTCATGTTATATCTGGTCGCGTTATATCGGGGTAGAGATGTATTCACTGAGCCTAGTGCACACTCCATTGTTTTCGATTAAAAAAAAAAAAAAAGAGGGTATAACAACTGGAAAATCGAGAATTATTAATGTACCTTTCAGACGATGACTTAAAATCTGTTCCAAAATGGCTGCAAAATTATTAAATTCAGGGGAAGAATCATCAATAGTCTCAAAACAGGAACGATCAATCAGAGTCTTCACAGAGAACCTAGAAGAGAAGAATGGGATATCAATTTTATAGATAGCTGGTATAGAGAAACAAAACTAGCACAATTTTTTTTTAATAAAATACAAACTGGAAGTGATCAAGATGTTCAAGTTATAAAATGTATGGTTCTCATTTACCTAAAGTACAACAAGAAGTAACCTAGAAAATACTGTAAATCATCATCATCACTAGTCTTACACTTAAAGCTTTCATAGATTCACAGATTTCAAGGCCAGAAGGGACCAGTGTGATCAACTAGTCTGACCTCTTGTATAACACAGGACATAGAACTTGCCCAAAATAACCCCAGAGCAAATCTTTTAGGAAAAAAAAAATCCAATTATGATTTAAAAGTTGTCAGTAAGGGAGAATCCACAATAACCCCTGGTAAATTATCCCAATGGTTAATTATCTTCATTGTTAAATTGAAAATGGAAATAAGGTGTAAATTTATGTCTAGATTCAACATCCAAGTCCAATGGATCATGTTATATATTTCTTTGCTAGACTGAAGAATTATTACATATTAATTTCCCATGTAGATACCTATACATTGTAATCAAGTTGCCTATTAACCGTCTCTTTGTTAAGATAAATAGATTGAGCTTTGAGTCTATTTCTAATCCTTTAATCATTCTCATGGCTCCTTTGAACACTCCGCAATTCAAGAATGATGTTGATAAATTGGAGACACCAGAACTGGACACTGTATTCCAGCAGCAATCATATAAGTGCCAAATGCAGAGGCAGAATAACATCTCTACTCCTACTCGAGATTCTCCCATTTAAGCATCCGATCGCATTAGCTTTTTTAGCTGCAGCATCATACTGAGATAGTCAGCTGATTATCTACCATAACCCCCCCAAATCTTTTTCAGATTAATAGCCTCCCAAGATAGAGACCCCATGAGGTAAGCATGGCCTACATTCTTTGTTCATAGATGTATACATTTACTAGGGCTGACAAGCAATTAAAAAAAATAATTGCAATTTATTGCACTGTTAAACAATAATTCAATACCATTTACAGGGAAACCCCGGTATAAGGCGCCCTGCGATAACGCGAATTCGGATATAATGCGGTCATAAGGTGGCTCCGGCTGCCCCAAGAAAAAAGCGGCCAGAGCGCCGCCGAAGCGCCCAGGGGCAGTGGTCAACTGGCGGCCCCCGCGCCTCCCTGATGGTGTCCCCAGCAGAAGGTGGGGAGGGGGCAGGGGAAGCCCCCAGTGCTCCAACCCATCCCCAGCAGAAGCGCAGGGGAAGCCCAAGCACTGGGACACCCCCCGCCCCCACTGCAGCCCCAGGAGGCAGCCTCATAGCTTGGGGGGGGCACTCACTCCCCACTGCGGCCTCAGGCTGTGACGGGGGGACAGGGTGTCTCCGGTCTTGGGGCCGCAGCGGGGAGGACATAAAGTAGCAAATGGGTTGAGGAGCTGCAGTGGGGGTGTGTGGAATGGGGGGACCCTGAGTGGCACCCCAGGGAAGGAGCAGAAAGGGGTGGAACTGTGGGCGGGGGCCGCTGCAGATGGGGCAGAATGGGGGGGGCGGGCTAGCAGGTGGAAAGGGGGGGGCACTTGCTTTGTCCCAGGGCCCCAGGAAACCTTAATCTGCCTCTGGCCCTAAAGTGTTGCACCAAATCGCCCCAAACCTTGAGAGGCTCAGGGCCAAATCGCCAGCCCCTACTAGCCTCGCTGTCCAAGTAACACCTGAGGGCTCTACAAATCTAACCACGCTGCCCTTGCCGAGATGCAGGACACCCCTACCAGCATCAGTGACTCAGGCGCGCGCACACACACACACACACACACACACACACACACACACACACACACACAAAAAAGAAAAGAAAAGAAAAGAAAAAAGAAAAGAAAAAAGCGGCCAGAGTGCCACGGAAGCGCAAAAAAGAAAAGGGGCTGCAGCGCCGCCGAAGAAAACAAAAAACGGAATGTGCCTTCCCCACTGCCTCTTCCCCCCTACCCCCGCTTCTTCTTTTGGCGAGAAGAGCCATTCTCCTGCCCAGCTGCTCCTTGCTCTTCCTCTGCCCCTTGCACGTCTCCCCTGCTCTCCCCAAGTGTTTCCCTCTCTCGCTGCTTGGCTGAGAGCCCTGCTGCTGGAGCTGCACCCTTTCAGTTACTGTTATGGGCAGTTCGCAAAGGCAAGTCCTTTTCTGCCCAAGAGAAATTGACCGGCTTGAAACTGACCGGCTTGAAATGGTAAACCTCGCTATACCGCAACCCTGCATTTAGCGCAATTGAATTTTTTGGAGCCCAATCATCGCGTTTTAGCGGGGTTTCACTGTATTTAAATATTTTTGGATGTTTTCTATGTTTTCAAATATATTGATTTCAAGTACAACACAATACAAAGTGTACAGTGCTCACTTTATATTTATTTTTGATTACAAGCATTTGCACTGTAAAAAAACAAATCGCATTTTTCAATTCACCTAAGTACAGTAGAGCAATCTCTTTATTGTGAAAGTTTAACTGACAAATGTAGAATTATGTACAAAAAAACTGCATTCAAAAATAAAACAATGTAAACTTTTTGAGCCTGCAAGTTCACTCAGTCCTACTTCTTGTTCAGCCAAGCGCTAAGACAAATAAGTTTGTTTACATTTGCAGGAGATAATGCTGCCTGCTTCCTGTTTACAATGTCACCTGAAAGTGAGAACAGGTGTTCTCATGGCACTGTTGTAGCTGGAATCGCAAGATATGTATGTGCCAGATGCGCTAAAGATTCATATGTCCCTTGATGCTTCAACCACCATTCCAGAGGACATGCATCCATGCTGATTACGGGTTCTGCTCGATAACAATCCAAAGTAGTGCGGACAGATGCAGGTTCATTTTCATTATCTGAGTCAGATGCCACCAGCAGAAGGTTGATTTTCTTCTTTGGTGGTTCGGGTTCTGTAGTTTCCACATCGGAGTGTTGCTCTTTTAAGACTTCTGAAAGCATGCTCCACACCTTGTCCCTCTCAGATTTTGGAAGGCACTTCAGATTCTTAAATGTTGGGTGGAGTGCTATAGCTATCTTTAGAAATCTCACATTGGTGCCTTCTTTGCATTTTGTCAGATCTGTAGTGAAAATTTTCTTAAAATGAACAACATGTGCTGGGTCATCATCCGAGACTGCTATACCATGAAATATATGGCAGAATGTGGGTAAAACAGAGCAGGGGACATACAATTCTCCCCCAAGGAGATCAGTCACAAACTTAATTAATGCATTATTTAACGAGCGTCATCAGCATGGAAGCATATCCTCTGGAACGGTGGCTGAAGCATGAAAGAGCATACCAATATTTAGCACGCAAGTACCTACCTTGCAATGCCAGCTACAAAAGAGCCATGCAAATGACTGTTCTCACTTTTAGTGACATTATAAAGAAGAAGAGGGCAGCATTATCTCCTGTAAATGTAAACAAATGTATTTGTCTTAGTACTTGGCTGAACAAGCAGTAGAACTGAGTGGACTAGTAGGCTCTAAAAGTTTACATTGTTTTGTTTGAGTGCAGTTATGTAAAAAAACAAAAACAAAAATCTACATTTGTAAGCTTCACTTTCACAACAAAGATTACATTACAGTGCTTGTACGAGGTGAACTGAAAAATACTATTTATTTTGTTTATTATTTTTACTGTGCAAATATTTGTAATCAAAAATATACACTTTGATTTCAATTACAACACAGAATACAATATATATGAAAATGTAGAAAAACATCCAAAATATTTAATAAATTTCAATTGGTAATCTACTGTTTAACAGTACGATTAAAACAGCGATTAATCGCAATTAATTTTTTTTACTTAATCACGTGAGTTAACTGCGATTGACAGCCCTAACATTTACATTTAACCATATTAAAATGCATGCTGTTTGCTTGTGCCCAGTTTACCAAGCGATCCAGATCGCTCTGAATCAGTGACTTGTCCTCTTCTTTATTCACCACTCCAATTTCTGTGTCATCTTCAAACTTTAACAATGATTTAATGTTTTTTTTTCTAGATCATGGATAAAAAATGTTAAATAGTTTAGGGCAAAGAACTGATTATTGATGGATTCTACTGGAAAAGTCACCCACTTGATCACGATTCCCTATTTACAATTACATTTTGAGACCTATCAGTTAGCCAATTTTTAATCCATTTAATGTGTGCTATGTTAAAAAAAATAGAACGATATAATTATCAAAATGTTATATGGTACCAAGACAGGCACCTAATAGAAGTCTATTACATTTATCACACAAACTTGATACTATTATAAGTTTGACAGGATCTATTTTCAACAACCCCATGTCAATTTGCATTAATTACATTACCCTCCTTTAAATCTTTATTAATCAAGTCCCAGATCAGCTGTTCCATTATCTTGCCCGGGATTGAGGTCAGGCTGACAGGCCTATAATTACCTGGGTCACCCTGTTTACCCTTTTAAAAAACTGGCACAACATTAGCTTTTCTCCAGTCTCCTGGAACTTCCCCAGTGCACCAAAACTTATTGAAAATCAACATTAATGGTCTAGTGAGCTCCACAGCCAGCTCTTAAAACTCATGGATGCAAATTATCTGGACCTGCTGCTTTAAAAAGGTCTAACTTTAGTAGCTTCTGTTTAACATCATCCAAAGATACTAGTGGAAGGAAAAAAAGTTATCAACCTCATATGATGAGACTATCACCTGTTTTTTCCCCCCAGAGACAGGACATGAGTGTTTATTGAACACTTCTGCCTTTTCATTGATCATTCTACCATTTCCATCTAGTAATGGACCAATACTGTTGTCAGGATTCCTTTTGTTCCTAATATATTAAAAAACACCACACTTATTGTCCTTAACACTGCTGGCCATAGATTTTGCATTGTGTCCCTTTTCTTCCCTTATCAGTTTTCTACAATTCCTAACTTTGAGTTATATTTGTTATCAACTTCCCCCCCCCCCCATTTGTTTTTATGTAATTTAAAAATGTATTTATTATAGCTGTGTTCACTTC